TAATTATTATATTGCGGTCTATATAATATGTATATGTCATAGTTGACCGCGATTTTATATCAATTTTTTTGTAGTTGATGCAATCGCGAAAATCTTACTGCACCGCGACATTCAATGTTTTTGCAGTTCCACTTTCAAAATCGAATAATACTTCCATCGATAAATGTAGTATTGTCGTTATTGTGCTATATTATAATACGTTCCGTCAATCGAAATTAACGTGTCAATAATAAAGAATAATAATATTTTCACATCGAAGATGTGCACTTCAAACCGTGGTATAGAAAACATTATACGGTAAAATATATATATGTTATAACTACGTTATGTGTATATAGATTTATGGGCACAAAAAACGAATCTCGATAATTTCGTAAAAACTATAATGCTGTGGTGCTGCAATATACGTTGTATATCATATTATTATATATTATTCAGAAATAAGTATATATTTATTTATAATTATTTGTATTTATTTGATTTGTATAGATACAAGTAAGTCATGGTATTAAATATACACGCGTCTTCTATTCAAGATGAAATATTTATACGTATAGAAGTACGAATAGCGTAGGTACCTATATGAAGTAGGTACTTCATTTTGGTCAAGGGTTTTTCAATTGAACATCAATACACATTTTAAGTACCAACTAAATCAACCTCTAAGTGAGCTTGTAATTTTGAGTGACAGTGCAGAGTTGACGTCATCATAACGCTCACCCCTATAGTTTCGCGGTTATACTTTATACGAGGCGCCGAATGATGCAGACTTTGTCTCGCGGGAAGCGCTTCCGGTAGCCCGTAACACGACAATCTCAATCCGCCGACAACTAGGTTTCGTGTTACTTAATAATATTTTATTATACTATACTATACATTATCTCGGTGACAAAGGGAAGATAATTATTTGTGCTATAATGGTCTGGCGTGGGTTACCGAAATATCCCTTTTCCTGTCGCTGTGTGTATGTGATGTACATGTTGTAGTGGTTTTTTTTTATAACGAACCAGTGCAATATTTATCTGCAAATTTTCCAGTGTAAAATTGGTTTTGTATTTTCTGCAAATTGATATCCTGTTTATATTTTACTAGTTACCTCGTTGATTCCCGCTTATATTCCACCAAAAAATAATCAGGAAACCTATCTGCCTAACGTAATGATATGCATTTTGGTTAATGTTTACGAACCATTATCAGTAATTGCGATGGCTAAGTCTATGTGAGTAGCGAGTTACACAACATATAATATAATATATCATATTTTTTTTAATTTTCGATAAGACGTAGAACGTTGAACCTATTTGCAAACAATGAAACAATTTAGAAAATTGAATTTCGTTATTCTATGAAATTTTTGCATACACATTTGCCTTTGAGTGAAGTGTATTGTAAACTAGCTGTTCGAGTTGTTTGAGTTGAATAAAATTATACAAGGTTATCCTAATATTGCATTATAGTTTATGTGGCTACTAAAGTTATTATTCTCGAGTAATTTATTTTATCAGTCAAATGTTTATATTCACTGTCATCCATGAATCATGAGTATTGTTAAAATCTTTGATAATGTTAACACAAACTATGTTATATAACATAAACTAATGCTTTCTGTTATATTATTATTTTTTGCGCCCCAAATAAAAAGTTATAATTTATGAGTTATGATCATGAGACCATTGTTAATAACAAGGAAATGTAATATGAATTAAACACATTAACTTTATATTATTAAATATTAATATTTAATAATGATAATAGGTAACGGATGACATTTGAATAAGTAATTATTATTATATTATTCTTTTTTATTTTTCATACAGTATAATATTCAAAGAAAAACCAAAACTTATGATTTTTGTGATTATATTAACACATAATATGATAACTTAAACTTTCAAGAACACAGTTTAGACATTTTAAAAACAAAAATTACTCACGATTTATACTGACGAAATATAATAGTGTTAACAAATGATCGGTGATATATTATATATGTATGTATCGCTGTGGTTTGACGTGATAAAATTTCATTTCAATGTGTAAAATCGTCAAATGTTCGAGGTACACGCATAACCCCATACAATATTCTATATGATATTTACGCCCAAATAAAAGTATGCATACACTTAAGTCAAAAATTAGGTACACGTGTATGACAAAGATTGATATACATTTACCACCCGCGTAGAACCGTAGTACTGTCTGCACTATCGATTCAACTGGGTATCGCATAGATAATATGTATAAATTTATATTATATGTAAATGTATATAGAAGCTAATACCGTATATCAGTTGAATTACAAATGTCGGCGCCGCTTATAATAAACGTGCGTATTTATTCTTATAATATTATTATCTAATAATAATACACTGCATCCATACAATTAGATATATTGTGTCGCGTACCTATTAATATGTATCTGAATATTATATTATTATTGTTGTATACGTTTTGGATCATCAAATAATAATTGCATAATGTAGCGTCACTTGCTCGTAAATCGTCGCCACCGTCGTCGTCGTAGTCGACAAACGAAACGAGAACCGCGATCGTCGAAAAAAAAAATGGTGTTAACTGGGCGCCCAGATGTCGCTCAACAGGTCGGCAGCCGCTAGCAGTTTTCGAAATCAATAATAGACGTATAGCCGCGTGTTTCACAAGCAACCGCACTCCATTACAGTTTGTCCAAAACGTTTTATTTCTCAACCCCTTTATTGTTAGGATTCATTTGTTTCTCTTTTATCATCAGTGTACAAATATATTATATTCAAATATATATGTTCATATAAATCCCTCTGTAAAAAAATAAATATCCTTAGCATTATTGTTTAAAAAATATATAGGTAGGTATCTCCAACAATAATCAGAAATAATTTAGAAAATTATCGTGAAGCTAAGTGGCCCATGGAGACCACACTCTTAGACCATTTACTTAATATACAAACAAGAATATGTGTTATAGATTTAAAATATATTTAGTCTGTATATTATCGTTTTGAAAATGTAAAATCTAATTTATGAGACTTATAAAATAACTCAATTCTATTAATTTTTTTCTATAATTAAAACGTTAATTGGACGTTATATCTACATGCGTTTTTCACTTTAGCTTATCCGCTAACGCATAACAAATTTTACATTTAGGATCATCAATTTTACTCTGTTATTTTTAACATTCGATCATAATGACCATCGTATTATCAAATTTATAAGTAAAATTATTATCCTGGAGCCACATTACGCTTTATTTTACACTTTTATTTTAAAGCAAGTTATATAAGCGTTTTGAATTTAAAACGCTCGTAATTTTATCTATAATAATCTTAAAATTAGATCAACTCACTTAATGTTAAAACCAACAGAATTAAATATATTTTTCTATACGTAAAATATTTTGGTATATTATTTATTTATGAGATGGTGACAATAATATTGTATTTTAATTTTAACTTTTTTTTAAGCGTTTAAGTAGAGATAATTTTTATTTTATATCTATATATTATCGATTGGATTTTGTTTTATCTCAATCCTACTGTACCTAGGCCATACTGTATTGATTATAATTTACGTAGGTATATGGTTAGCTACACTATAATATGTAAATTGATGTAATCTAACTTCTTAGTTCGCTGTAATATTGTTGCTGCACTTGATAAATTATAATTTATGTAATTGTAATACGCATCAATAGGCATACTGCGCGAATGACAATACCTGTGACGTGTGACAAATTAAATGCTTTAGACAGGTTTACAGCGTTCCGCGCGGTGTTTAATGTTTAATCGGCCGAACAAAATCCCGAGGCTTCTCTTGTTATTCTAGAATCATGATTTTTTTTTTTTTTTTGAAACTGCGCACAAGTTATACGTCAAATCATATACAGTCTTCACAAAAAGAAAAAAAAGATTTTGAAGATTTTTTAAGTATGATGATAGTATTGTTATACAGATCTGTTTTATAGCTGCAGTCGTATCGCGCACTTTTTATTTAAACGCCTATAACATGATATGAATTGTGGTCTAGTCAGGAAGTACGCATTAATAATTCATTTACCTTCTGAAATAGTTTTAGAAAAAACATTCGCATAGCGAAAAAACACTACGTATTAAATATATATATATATATATACTATACACTTATAAACCTAATAGTTATATGTATAGGTATATTCAATCCATTTTTCTTGTGCCCTCGTTGTACGTACACCATAACACTTCAACTATACTACCACGCATTTCCTCCGCATCGTCCCTGTTCGTTTTCCCGGTGTTTATTACGGGTTCCACCCACGTTCGTATTTTCCTTTAATATATTATCGTTTTTAATCATATATTTGTTGTTTAACTACAGTAAAGAAACTGTTATTAAATAATCAATAATTCCGATAATAAATATAGTTTCTTAAAATATTTATACTAACTGGTTCACAATAGTGTCGTCGAACGTTATAAATAGTATTGAATTTCCACAATTTTTGTACAAATCGAATTTACAATATAAATTCTAAGTGATAAAAAATTATTTTTTTAACCTTATTTTTCAATTACTTCGTAGTCTCTTGTAAATAGTTTCGATATGTGTACTTATACGATGTATATGCTAATCACTGACACAATCGACTCGCATATATACAGTAAGACTGATCCGGATTAAGGAATATTATATATACATATGTTGTAAAAATAATAATATAATAAAACGTATACTCTACATATATATACATAGGTTTTTTTTGTCCTTCACCCTTGTTATGTATTTTTTCGCGTAATCGGATCCTCAGGAAATCCAATAAAGCTTCTTCCTTCTCCATATACGAAACATCAGGGTGGTAAATAATACTTATGCCCACAAATGTGTATAATTTAAAAAAAATATAATACATCGCAACTATATGTAATAATATAATAACGAATTGAATTATATTCCTAAATCATGCGGTTATCTTTATTGTATTATTATATTATAATATATTTAGTTAATTTTTTTTTTCTATTTCACAGGTGTATTGGAGATGAGCGCTGCAACCGAAAGTGGTATCCGGTTGAGCGGACATACTCTAGACAAGGCGACCAAGGCCAAAGTCACCCTTGAGAATTACTACAGCAATCTGATCGCTCAGCACATTGAACGGAAACAGAGGTACAATACACTTACATATATACGTATTTTCATTGATTTTCTTGCGTGTTCTAAACATATGATATGTCTGTGGATCTTATGGCTAGAATATGTAATATATTCTATATTCTGATGACACCGCCTTTTATCTATTATTATTTATGTCTATCATATAAGCATAGAATTCCATTCATTTTCATTTTTTTTATATATTAAATGTGATCGAAAAAAAAAATGTAATAATAAAATATGTAATATGTAACAAATTTAAAAATATTTTATAACCATACTCAAGCCACATTAAATTAAAAGTGCGTAGGAAAAAATGACGTAATTGTAATAAAGAAGACTTTTTTTTTTTTGTTAAAAATTTTGATTGCATTTTCGGAGTTGTGAAATTATAGTTTATTGATTATTTTTTCTATATGTTTTTAAATGTCTTATAAATAACATACATTTTAATTAGGTACATATCGTTAATACGATTTATCCTATTTGATATTCATATTTATTTTTCTACGTTTTTAAAAAATATCAATTGATAAAAATAATGTTTAATTGATAATATAATAGACCTAATATATTCAAACATGCATTGTATAAATAAAATCTTTAAGTTATTTAAATGGCATCTATATTATTAGTCATAAAATTATATTTTTCTAAACGATCTGTATTGTTTGATCTTACTATTATAAACAAAATTATTAGTAGCCAATTATAAAATAAATACTAAGTGATACTACGACTATATGATATAATTATACTATATTAACATATTATTTACTATTCACTAATATAAATATAACAATTTAAAACCGCACCAATCAGTTTTAACTAAATTGGCTGATAAGCATGACTTATAGAATTCTAAAGGTCAAGTATCAATTTATCTAAACTTATTATTTTCAAATATTATAATTATCAAGTATAATGTTTCTGAAAATAACAAAAGAAAACCCAGACATAACCTAATTTTTTTTAACTCTTCAATAGTAGTTTATAAATGTATTTTAATCATGGAAAGTGAATAAAAAAGTTTTTTTTCTAATAGAACATTATTTTTTAGTTGAAGGTCTAAATACATTATTATTGACCGCCAATGTAAAAATCCGTATAAATAGATACAAATTAAATTAACCATACGTTTCTATATTTCTGCTAGTATTAAAATTCAGAATAATAAATTATAAATATTTTTAGTTGTATAAATTAATAACTTGATAACTGAAAAGTTTATTTTTATCAATTATTACAATTTATGATATATTATTACGAAGCAATAATAAATATTTTTTTTATTATTAATAATTACTCACAAAGTACCTACTTATAACTTTTGTATGTAAATTATAAATATACAAAAAATTGTTTACTTAGTAAAAAAATATCTACTCTGTATTTATGAAAATGTCTAGAATTCATTTTAATAAAATAATAAATTATTTTAATTCTTATCTGCTTTTTTTGTTAGCTTATATATTATTATATAGTGCAATATTTTTTTAGTTTATTTGAGTAACTTATATAATAAATATAATTTTAAGTCATGTTTAATTACGAAAATGTCATAAAATGTAGTTCTTACCTATCAGTTAATAATGTTTGCTAGATATATCGTATAATTCCTATACAACTATTATCAATATTTCAATATATTATGAATGCGTGAATTAATACACGTTCTAACGCTAGTTGAGTAAATTGCATCACAAAATATGAAAACCAAACATCTGCTTAAAAAGTTCAAATGTTAATAATTAGTTTAATAAGCGCTATAAAATACATTATAAATGATTTGTTTTTATGTAAAAATAAAAATATATACATAATGTTCCAAATTTAAAGCGTAACATTCAATTTACGCAAAATACTATTAAATTAATGAAAATTTAAAATACATTATTGAAACAATGATTGAATTTAAATGGAAAGTTAAAAGGGATAATTTGAAGCATTCTAAAATTGAAATTATTTTATAACGTTATAATATAATTTTATGAATAAATATGATTTATTGTAAAAAAAAAAATAATACATTTCCTAAGATTTATAATATATAGCAGTCGAAAAAAACAACGATCGCGATTAAAGTTAATATTATAAATTATTCTACAATATGCATGTTCGTGATCATTATAGATGTAATCATAATTGTGAACAAAAATACTACTAAAAACCAAGTCTCAAATAATTCGATAACAGAGAAACACAACGATAATATCATTGAAGTTACAATAAAATAAAACCCGCCGGATTTCTTTATAAAGCTGTAAGTCAGACACAAAGTATATATACGTTGAAGCAATAACGTCATCTTCAATAGAGATAACGCAACAACAAAACATATTTCATAACAAATTACTATACTCATTCACAAAGACAATTTTTTTATTTTAATAATAATATAAATGCATGTAGTAAAATTCCAAAAACCTTATTTTGAATAAATAAATTAGTATAAAACCACGTGGTGATCATGGTTGATGAATCATTGCCTGTGATATTATGTGTACCATTATACTTATATTTCGTATTATACGGTTTTGTATAATTTTTTAATTTATTTCTACGATATAATTATGTAATATTTAAAATTAAAGAAATAATAATTTTTTCATTAAATAATGTTGAAAACAAACAACATTTTTTTTTACTTCTTAATGACAATAAAAGTTATATTTCATTGCCAATTGTTTTTTGTATACTCGTTCTTAAAATAATGTATTTACAATTTTTTTGTCCTTACATGAAACTGTTATACGCTTTTTGCTGAAACGTAGCCAAAGTTTAACCTCGTATAGTCATTGGCATAGTATATATATATTTCATTGTCAGAAGAATTCGTTTCTTTCAAAACCATTTTCCTAATGAAACTTCTATGATTGCCGTTCAATTATTCTCTTGAAACTTTTGGTTGTAAAAACATTATTTGCAAATAACTCATTTCTACAGTATACAAAAACTATATGCATACTCCTGTGCATATATGCCACATATTATATACAGGTTATATTATAAAATTTGTATAAAAAATCGATATTTTATAACACCTAAAAATATCCTTGTCAATAATCAGTGTAAATATCTAGTATTTTATATTAATATCTAAATTTTGTTAAGATGACAAAATTATTTTTTTAATTAAAAACCATTTAAACTATAGGTACATTATATTAAACTTTATAATTTTTGCAAATAAAGTTAATTTCTTTTCAATTATTTGGTAAACTACTTAAAAGTTCCAAAAACTTATTATTCAATGTATATTATCTGTGTTCAATTTCTATTATGTATACAAAAAAAGCTTGATGAAAATGAAACTTTAGTAGCTATCATCTTCTTTGACCTGAAAAAAAAGAACACGCCTATTATTGTTGTAGAATTATTAAAAAATCATTGCTTGTTCCGCTTTGAATCAAAAAAGGATATTATATATTATTGTTAAAACGGTTATCGAATAAAAAGTACGACGTATTATCAAGTGAATTTGGACTGCCTCCTTTTTCCACATCGCGATAATTTACCCATTCAATCAACACTTAAATGTTGCTATTCGTCACATCCAGGTACATAATATTATATTTACCGTTCGTGTATATATAGTTTGTATAATATTGTGTATCATTACGTTATGTGGCGTTGTACCTATTAAATTATTATATATCCATCTTCGTCGTCATCGTCTTAACCTTTCGTGAACGTGTAGCATGCCGAGATGATTCCATGATCGGTAAACCTATTATACCTGCAGTGCTGAATCGAAAACCATCAGAAATTCCCAAAACAATGTAAGGATGTAAGGTTAATGTAGTAAACCATCGAACTGGAAATTGTATGAATTCGCGTTGTATATAGTTCGAATAATATAATATGTATAGCAGCTATACAAGCTTGTGAAATACGATAAAATAATATTACTATGACTCGATGGTTATAGGTATCTATAATATTTATAGGGTATAACATACGACTTAAATCAGAGTTAATCTTTGAAAATAAAACTTCACGATTTTCTTGCTAAATATTCTGTAATTCAGATACTATACTTTATGATATTACAATATTACATTATATTATATTATTATACATTGTTAATATATTGTATATTATTAAACAATACAAACGCATATGTTATGTTTATTTTTCAAAACTCTTTTTGAGAACTCTTTATAATTGTTATGTGTTTTATTTTATTTTTGGTTACTATTAAAAACAATTTGTGGTAAATTGTGAACCACATTAAAAAAATTAAAAAAAAAACCTAATGTCTTTGCTGGAACGTTCTATTTATAAAGTTTTACATTGTCGTCATACTGTGATATATATATAATAATTTATTATAGTGGTTATATTATGAGTGTGTACGAGTAATAACTCACCAGAGATCTGTGGTTTTGAATGCTGACATTGTGTACAACTTGAGCTTTTGGTTTAAAAAACACGTGTGATTAATAATCTGCTATTAAATATATGCTTAACTCTTAAAAGGAATAAATTACACCTATAAAGAATTTCGTTGAGCGAAATATCTTAAAAAACAAATAATGTGTATTGAAGTACAAAGACATTCTGATCATCTTTCAGTTTAATGCATATATACTTGCTTTATATAATACTATATCACTAAATAAACGTTATATTATTTATTATATTTGCATTGCTGTGTGTTATATATTTATTTTAAAGTTAATATTGATTAAGTACTAGCACCAAAATATGAGAGAAGAATTAGAGGAAATGCAAATATGGTCTATGACATATTATATCTTATACTTATGGCTTTTATGTTGCTGTGAAAACTTTCAGAAATTCAATGATAGTAGTATTTTACTTTTTAAATAGTTTTTTTCACACAGTTTTTGCTATTTACCATTGATTATGTTTTAATAATTAATGATAATATAATAGATAAAAAGTATGTTTATGTGCGAAATAGTGCTCTTTTTTTCTAATTCGAAATAATATCATTATAACTTACTACACAACATATTATTATTATTATTTTATTTATTTATTTA